TTTCCAAAAAAAAAAAAAATCATTCGCGTCTGTCCTACCAAAAAAAAAACCAATAGGATAAATAATCAATGCGTACGCGTCGATCATTCACAAACTTTTTAATTCTTTTAATTTAAAAATAAACATGCCACGACAAAACGACAGCAATAAAAGAAACAGACAAAGAGAAGAAGAATTCGAAAGAGAGTAAGTGTTTTAAGGATGGTGGTGGTGGTTATCGCCCGCCACCTGTCGTCGTCACTCTAGTTAAATAATAATACTTGTCATTATTCATGTTTTTTTTTCTTCTTACAATATGACAGTCAAGTTAAGAAGGGTAAAATTGTTGATTGGTCAGATGAAGATGATTGGCAACAAGATTCAATCACAAAATATTTAAATAAAACTTCATCTAACCAACAACAACAAGAACAGCAACAACAAGATCAACCTTCGGAACCTCGGCCAGCCATATGGACCAGCTTGGTCCATAACGGGGTTTGTTTTCCTCAGGAATATGTCCCTCACAATGTAAAAATGAAATATAATGGTATGGCGTTATATAATCTAATTTTCTTTTTTAATGCATGTGTATTTGAAAATATTATTATTGTTTTTGTTATAATTTTTTAATTATATTTCTAAACTTTTACAATAATCATTATTGATTTTTTTTTCAAAGGAGATGAAATTGAACTCACTCCAGAAGCTGAGGAAGTGGCAACAATTTATGCTGCATTGTTAAACACAGACTATGTAAAGAATGACATTTTCAATGAGAACTTCTTTAAAGATTGGCAAGTTGTATTAAAAAAATCTGAAGAAAATCCACAAATTGAGGATTTTGAAAAATGTGATTTCACTTCTATATACAATTATTTACAAAAAAAAGAGAAACAAACAAAAAATTTTTCAAAAGAGGAAAAACAAAGATTGAAAGATGAAAAGACCAGGGTTGATGATTTATATGGTTATTGTTACTTAGATGGACGTAAAGAAAAAGTTGATAATTTTAAAATTAAGCCACCTGGTTTGTTTAAAGGTCGTGGTGTTCATCCTAAAACTGGTTCATTGAAGTATAGAGTCACTCCTGAGCAAATAACAATTAATCTCAGTAAAGATGCATCCATCCCTCCTCCACCTGCTGGCCACTCCTGGGGTAGTATTATACATGATAACACAGTTACCTGGCTTGCCACCTGGAAGGAGAATGTAAATGACAAAAATAATTATATGTCTTTAGCAGCCAATAGCTCACTTAAAGGTCAAAACAATTTGGAAAAATTTGATAAGGCCAGGGAGCTCAACATGCACATAGAAAAAATCCGGTGTGATTATAGACAGGATTTAAAAGATAGGCTAAATTCAGTCCGACAACGTGCTACTGCCATGTATCTCATAGACAGGCTCGCATTAAGAGCGGGAAATGAGAAAACTGGTGAAGAAGCAGACACTGTGGGCTGTTGTTCCCTCAGGTGTGAGCATATTACTTTGGTAGAACCAAGGACAGTCAAGTTTAATTTTTTGGGTAAAGATTCAATAAGATACAAAAATTCAGTGGAAGTAACAGAACAAGTTTTTGAAAATTTTAAAATATTTATGAAGGATAAGGAAACCAGTGAAGAGTTATTTGACAGATTAACGGTACAAAAATACAAGATTTAAATTTAATCAATCACATATATGTGTGTG